TCGCAAACTTCAATTTAAATTCTGCTTGCGCAGATTTTGTTTATTTAATCATTATAAACTCATATAAATTTAGTGTCGGTCACATATCTAATAATTGAGATATCGGTATACGCAAAATCCACCAGCCGCCACTGATGTGTGGTATTAGTAAGATATTTAATGTATAATATGCTCAAAGTTGCAATAAATCTTATATTTTTCAATAAATTAAGTATTTAATTAGTACCCTGGTATACTCGTCACTTCCCTTGCATTCAAATTTAGAAAACTCAGATAATTCAGAAACTGTTTGAAAAAGTGACTGGCCCGGTCTGGAACATTATTATGTTATAATATAATAATAATATATATGGGATATTCTTATAATAGGAGCAATCTTGAGTATAAAAAATTAAAAAAAAAACAGTTACAGAAAATTTTGAAAAACTATTGTTTTATAAGAAATGAATAAAGTTTATGAAATGATAAGTCTGTTGAGCTCAATTTTTAATTTAGGGGCTTTTTCAAAAATCCATATCCACGCCAATGACTAAGAGGCACGCTAATGACAGTTTTCATTGAATAATGATACAAAATATATTTTTAATATTTATTTATAAGTAAACATTGGTTCCAAAAAAATTAATGAATTAAGCTTGGTACTTTAAAAAATCTATTTGAAATTGGCTGTGGTGGCAAATCAAGTTTACATAATATACCAGCTTCTGTAAAGATTTGTCGATCAGTTGATCCAGGCCAATAAAATTTTTTTATTATATATATATATATATATATATATATATATATATATATATATATATATATATATATATATATATATATATATATATATTTAATATTTACCACTTCTTGCCATAAAGGTAATAGTTATGTTTTCTCCATTTATATCCTCAATTATTCCTAAAAATAATTTACCTCAGTGCTCGATATTAATAAAAAAAAGGAGACATACCTGGATACCATGTCTCTGTAAATTGAAGCTACCCATTGTAAATGTAATGCTACTTGCCGGTTTATGTAGATATTAAACCTGCAGGTTCATGAACAGGAGATGGCACTAAAACCCGGTTTTTCAAAAGTGGACTTACGTCTTTTGCGAATTAGGGTAACGATATTAAATTTTATCCGAAATCGCATTTAATAATTATAAATTATTTACCTTTTTAAACAGTAGACACCTTCTGCATTAAAATTTGAATCGAATGTCATTTGATTGTAGTGTCCATGGTATACTGTTTGTTGCGATGGTTATGACAAAGATAATATATTATCTTATATTATATTATTATATTATTATATTATTATATTATATTATTATATTATATTATTATATTATATTATTATATTATATATTATCTTTGGGTTATGCAGTGGCGGCTGGTGGATTTTGGGCACACCCATATCTCAGTTATTAGACATGGGACCCACATCAAATTTATATGAGTTTATAATGACATTATATAGACAAGTTCTGCGCAAGCAGAATTTAAATTAAAGTTTGCGAAAAAAAGTTAGTTTTTAAGTGCAACCTCCAGCCTCCTGCCCCTCCAAATTAGGATAATTCAAATTAAAGTGGTACAATATTTAATTCAATGAAGTTTATCGACAAATTTCAAATTTTATTAAAAAAATTCAAGAATCACAGGTTTTATACCACTTATAATTTTTACTTTCTTTCTTTTACTAAATTTAAAAAAAATTGAAATGGTATAAAATCTGTATTACTTGAATTTTTTTAATAAAATTTCAAATTTATCGATAAACTTCAGTGAATTAAATATTGTACCACTTTAATTTGAATTATCCTAATTTGGAGGGGCAGGAGGCTGGGGGTTGCACTTAAAAACCAACTTTTTTTCGCAAACTTTAATTTAAATTTTGCTTGCGCAGAACTTGTCTATATATATATATATATATATATATATATGGGTCCCATGTCTAATAACCAGCCGCCACTGGAGTTATGATATATTTGCCCGCCGCGGCGATTTTTTAATTTAATTAATAAAATAAAATTAACTCTTTTTTTTAACATTTTATGAAAGGTTCCAATTGATCTCCGCGAAGGTGCTTTTTTAAAATATTATTTAGTTGCTGCTAAGGAGCAGTACCCAGAGAGCCATGCTTTGGGAAAGAAATTAGTCAACTTTTTCCCAACTAAGTTTGGACTACGATATTTTACATTTATTGGGGTTTATTTGGACATATTAATTGTATTTTCATAAAGTTTGACCAAAAATTGACATGTTTTATGCCAAATTATTTTCCAATGCGATAGCACAAAAACTACACAAATATACAGTCCTAGATAGAGTTTTTATTGGCCAACATCGTTTGTAATGAAGTTTGGTCGAAAATTGGCAAAGCGTTTGTAATTCAGATTGATCGAAACTTGGCAAATAATTGATCAGCATGGAAAAAGAATCGCAATGGCGATATGTCGTTAATATTTCAAGACCTTCTCTACAAAAAGCCGTCAAAAAGTGCTTGTGTGATAGTTATTACAAAAAAATATAATTATCTGTGCACTAACTAAACGTGTTAAGTTTTAAACGGCTTTAAATTTTGAGTAAGTAATTAAGGTTATGTTTTCAAAGTTTTTAATAAAACATTCAATTATTATACAATTTCTTACTTCTCGAAGATTTTATTCCCTTATTAATTTTGAAGTAATATAAATTTACATTGGTAGTTCTATATTATATACTTATTTTTTGTTAATTGTTACAGATTTTCATCTTGAAGTTGCAGTGAAGAAAAATAACTGCCTTTTTCTAGGTAAATAGTGTTTATGGGTACACTGAGAAAAAAATGGGACAAATAAACTGTTTACCTAATACTTTTATTTGTAGTGAATATATTGTTTATTACCTCTAAATAGTCGAAATAATAACGATAATTATACTTTAGTAAAACTTTATATGTCGGGAATAAAAATATATTTAGGATAAATAAACTGTACCCTTGTCCCATATTTAAATATTTTTTTTATTTGGGAGCAATAAACTTTTTTCTCCGTGTACTAGGCTTTTACTACAAGCAGGGCAATTTAAAAATAAATTTTCTACCTATATGTCACGAAGGAAAAAGAGGATTTATTGGGTTTTAAGATCTATCGTGCTAAAAGTGAGCAAGGTACCTTATTGCAATTTTTTTATTGAATTTAAAAATTTATTTCTTTTTTATTTTTAAAGTTCTTCATAACATAAAGTTACCAATCACAAACTATTTTACAATAAGTTCTTAATGTTTAATAAAGCATAATTCTTGATAGCCTGATCGTAATTCTATTTGTATCATAATATTATAACAAGTATAAAGGTGGATTTAGCCAGCATTTAAAGTAATGTAATGAAACGTAACATAGGTAATTTAATTAAAAAAATTGTGTAACACAATTTGTGTTGACCCGTCAAACAAGAAAAACTCAACCAAGAATACATCTTCACTTAAAGAAATCTATACAGGGTGTCCTGAAATTAGGGGGCCAAACTTAAACAGTGCATTCTTCATAGAAAAATAAAAAATTTTTGTAAACATGTATCAAAAAATGGTTTTCACTTCCAAAATACGTTTTAAGACTCGTGTTTTTATATTGTTATGTTATAGGTTAGCTACTTTAAATTTGTCGCTGACGATGACGTCGTAGGCAGCGTGAATTTAATTGTCAAAGAAGCCTTCTCAGATGAAGTTTCTTCCAAAATAACGCGCACTGGACGTGCTGATGTTGGGGTGTCCAAAACAAAAATCGTACAAGCCATTCACCGTATGTTTTATGTTTTAATATTATTTCCTAGACAATTTTGTTACTTAAAGTATTTTTTAGAGAGTTTACATGAACATGATAAATTTCCTCCTCCAGGGGCTTTAGAATTCCAGAGGTCCTTTGACGTGGCCTTAAACAACGCGAAGCAACGGGTCCGAAATAAAAAAAAAGCCTTATTGCAAAAAAACAATTAAATCACTGCTTGGGATTCAACATAAAAAAACAATATTTTTTTCCAATTTTGATTATTTTAAATATTTTTTATTTATACATTTGGTTTTTTTTTTAAAATTTTATTTTTGACCACTGTTCCAGTATTGGAACATACAGTTTTATTTTTTTATTATAATTAAAAAATATAAATACAATATTTTTTATTTGTTTTATAAAAAGAGCTTTTATTTACCCAATTTTCAAATACTCTCCAAAAAATTAATAGATAGATTAATAGATTTTAATATAAATGAGAAAAAGAGTAATATTCTTTCAAATATAATAATAATATTTGTTAATACTTTGGATTTGTCCAAATATTTACCAATATTTGGTCAATTTTTCAAAAGCCCAAATAAACATCAAAAATTTGTCATCGTTTTTCCATGCCCAAACATTCCCAAAATTAAACCAACGGTAACCTACCTAATTTATCCAAACTGCTTTGGCATATTATTGGGCACAATTTGGTCATTTATTGTTGGCCATCGCGATTGCACAAATACCATAGGAATATACAGTCCTACATAGTACATTTATTGGCAAAACTTTTCCAAAGGTAATGGGCAATTCTTGGCCATGTTTTAACCTGATATGGCTCTCTGGGTAATGGTTTGCATACAATGCTCGTATTAAATCGGTACTAAAGTTCTACTTTACTGCCGATTTTAGATAAAAATATCTTATTATCATTATTCGTACAAAATATCATTGGCGTCATTAGCGTGGACAAAAAAGTCCACGCCAATGATGCAAGTAAATATCCACGCCAATGACTAAATTAAGGTTAAGGTTCTTTGGACAGCAAATGGATTAATGAGGAAGAAGAAGATTTGGACAGATGTCAAAAGTAAAATTTGCCTCAAATCCAATATTTATTCAAGAATTATTACAAATAATAGAAGATCAATTGCAAGGCAATAGCAATTAAAAAAGTACACTACTCAAATCCGGGGTAAGTTACCTTTTGAGGTTAAAAATTTTTTCCTCGCATGTGCATCCCTTAAAACCTCAGTAGTACATGAAACTAACACCCCGGGGGGGCTCCGACCCCCCCAATAACCCATCCTTAACCCTAACCCCCCCCTCATATCAAACATATCAAAAATTAACAAAAAAAGAAGCAATCACCGAAGATGAGAAAACCAATCTCAGCCTCGAGTTGGACTCCAAACTCAATAACGAATTAAAAAAACCAATAGAAGACCAAGACAAAAACCAAATAAAAAACATAAGAAAAATCCAAAACATGATTGAAGATCAAGAAAAACCAATGGAATCAGATAACACAATAATAGAAAACGAAAAAACCTACTACAACCCAAACTTAAAACAAAAAGGCCCTTTTACAGTCATAATCCAAGGAAAAAACGAAGGGAATAACCTATCAGCTGCCCACTGCATGACAATTGCAAAAATACTTAAAAATAAAAACATAACCGGCTTCAACAAAATTTCCAACAAAGGCTATAACAAAGTTGGCCTAGATTTCAACACAGCTGAACAAGCTAACTCATTCATAGACAGAACCGATCTAGACAATTGGAAAACATTTATACCATTAAACCTGACCACTATAAAAGGAATCGTAAAGAACATCCCCCTCGATTTCCCAATTGAGGAACTAAAAGAAGCTGAAAGTGCAGCAAAAATTTTACATTTGAGGAGATTAACTGCACCAAAAAGGGATAAAACCGGAACAATCATAAAAGACCACGAACAAAAACCTATTTATACCTCAACAGGTATGATAGTAATAACCTTTGAAGGCAAAAAATGCCCCATAGAAATTAAATACAACCATTATTCAATGCTTATAGAAACCTATATCCCCCCGGTCATCCAGTGTCTCTCCTGTCTGAGGTTCGGCCACTCAGCAAAAATTTGTAAAAGTAAACCCAGGTTCAGAAAATGCGGTAACGAAGACCACATAAAAGATGAATGTCAAAATGCACCAAAATGTACATCCTGCGGTAAAGACCACATGGCAACGTCAAAAACATGCGAGGAATACATACGACAAAAAAGTATCAATGATTACGTAGCCAGAAACCGGGTCTCATTCTTCGAGGCGCAACAAATTTTCCCTTTAAAAAAACCCGCACCTAATCAAGAACTCAACTCCAATACAAGATTCCCCCTACTTCCCAGACGACAGGAAACCTTCCAAAACCTAAGGCTAAACATGCCACAATTGCCACTCACATCCCACTCCGAAGTTGTACAACAATCAAAAAGAAAAAGAGAAATACAACAGCACAGCCCAGGATATGACAGAGCAGCCCATAATTCTCAATTAATATCCCTATCCCCAAGGCTTCCATCAACATATTCCGTAAACAACCAACACTCAAAATTATTCAAAGACCCAATCACAGAAAAGTTTTTAAACCTAATTAGAGAACAAACAACCACTACAAGAGCATCTATCCCCGACATAATTAAAGAATTAGCTACTCTCATCTCCAACATGGCTGCCCAGCCTACATCCCCATCCACCTCCAACTCATACCACTCCACAACCTCCCTTTCTCCATCTACTTAAACACACAAAAAAATAGATACAAATAAGAACCTAAAATTAATCCACTGGAACATAAGATCTGCTATAAGCAATAAAGCTGATCTAGTGGGAGTAATAAGAAAAGAAAATCCAGACATAATAGCACTCAACGAAACATTCTTAAAAACCGGGAAAAACTTTAAAATATCAGGATTTACCTGCCTTCGCCAAGATCGTCAGGATGGTAAAGGAGGTATAGCAATACTAACAAAACTTCACATTAATGCCGACCCAGTTATCATCCCTCCCCAACATCTAAATGACAGATTCCAAATCCTTGGAATAAAAATAGATAAACTAACTATTTTAGCAATCTACAACCCTCCAGACCTCCGCCTCCCCCAATACGAAATCAATAGAATTCTACAAGGTATACAAGGCCCCTATCTAATTATGGGAGATTTCAATGCACAAAACCCAATGTGGGGCTCAACAAACAAAAATGCAAATGGAGATATCCTAAACGAAATAGCTGACCATCACAATTTAGTAGTCCTGAATGACGGCTCTCCAACAAGATTAACCCCTCCTCCTTCCGTCAGCGCTCTAGATGTCATCCTCGCTACTCCATCAATCTCGCGTACTACAACATTTCAAACAATACAGGATCCAGGATCAAGTGACCACTTCCCGATCAAAATAGAGATAACCAACAGAAATTCACCTTCCGCAACCCCCAAACCTCCAAACAAAATATACAACACGAAACTGGCAGACTGGAATCTTTACACATCTCTCTCTAACTCGTCCCATATAATATCTATCAACTCCTATAAAGAAATTATAAAATTCATTTTCAACGCAGCTGACTCAGCCATTCCTAAGCATAGGGAAAACAAGAGAACCAAGCCTCACTGCCCATGGTGGTCAACAGAATGCTCTAGAGCAATAAAGGAGAGAAAATCAGCCTTTCAACAACTCAAAAGAGATTTCAACCTGGACAACTTCCTCAAAGCCAAAAAAACAGCTGCAACCACCAAGAGAATTCTAAAAACGGAAAAAAAGAAGAATTTCCACAAATTCTGCGAGGACCTCAAACCAGATACGAATCTATCCACAATATGGGCAAAGGTAAAACAATTCTCCAATGGATTTACTCCCCCCAAAGAATCGCCTCCAATGAATCCCATAGCCTCAGAATTGATAAATAAACTGTGCCCTCCGTTCGTCAATAATGTACTCCCATCAACAAGGTTTAGTCAAAATATGTGTCACGAATTTTCCATGTCAGAACTAGAATACTGTCTAAACAATAAACAAGACTCTGCTCCAGGACTGGACGGTATCACATACTCTATGATAAATAATCTTCATAAGTCCACAAAATTCAAACTCTTAGACTTCTTCAACAAAGTTCTCACCAAGAAAACTCCCCCTCCATCAGATTGGCTACAATACTTGATAATCCCGATCCTTAAACCTAAAAAAAATCCCATGGACCTAACTAGTTACAGACCTATATCCTTAAGTTCCTGCGTACTAAAACTACTCGAATCACTTATAAAAAACAGATTAGAACACTGCCTAGAAACAACAAACATCCTATACCCTTTTCAATTCGGGTTCCGAAAAGGAAAAAGTATATTGGATCCACTAGCCTTTATAACATCAACTGTACAAACCGAACTCGTAAAAGGGAACCACTCAATCCTAGCAACCTTAGACATCGCAGGAGCGTTCGATAACGTAGTTCTTCCCATCCTATATCCCCTCCTCGCCGAATCTAACTTTCCGAAAAATATAGCAGATCTAATTCTAAAACTTTATGGAAACAGACACATATATATATTCGATCCAGAAGCCAAAGACTATAAACTCGGTCCCAACACAGCCTCCCTCGGGCTCCCCCAATGCTCAATCCTCAGCCCTCTCCTCTTCAATGTATACACCAATCTACTACATCATAACGCCTTCATGCAATGTAAAATCATCCAATATGCCGACGACCTTGCCGTCCTGTGCTCTGGCCCCAACGACAATACCCTCGTGGATTCAATCAACTACACCCTCGACCATATCAACAACTGGCTACTAGATCATGGCTTGAATATAGCCCCCCACAAAAGCTCTGCTATTCTCTTTAGGAAAACATCTACTTACCGCCCCTTAAATAACATACATACAACCGGTCAAATAATCCCTTGGGCAGATTCTATAAAATATTTGGGTGCCACATTAGACTACTCGCTAAGCTGGAAAGAACATATAGACCACGCATGCATCAAGGCGTCCAAGAGGCTAAACATTTTAAGAAGTTTATGTGGTACAAAATGGGGGGCGGACCCCCGAACTCTACTTCTGATTTACAAAGCATGTATAAAGCCGTTCCTGGATTTTTGCAGTCCCCTCTTCTCTCGAGTACCCAAGACACACATTTTAAAACTATCAAAAATCCAACACCAAGCATTAAGAATTATAGGAGGATACATGAAAACTACCCCAGTTAATGTATTACTAGCGGAAATCGGGGAACAACCACTCCACCTAAGAAGGGAATGGCTGGCTTCCAAGTATGTAGGCAGACTGTTCTCCTTGGAAAACCACCCAGTCAAAGGAAAATTTATAGGCGTCTACTCGGACTACTATGACGACGGAATATACTGGGCTAACAAATCTCCTCCCCCTATAATCTACGCATTGGACTTTTTTCTCAACAAAACCGCCTCGATAAAAACTTCCCCCCTCCTTCCCTGCTTCAATACAAACTTCGACTCCATCACCGTTACACGAAAGATCCACGTTCCCGCCCTCCAAAAACAAACTGACAATAAACAGGCTTTTCTGCACTACTTTCAAAACAAATGGAAAGGCTGGGAAGCCTACTACACGGACGGCTCAGTCAGCCAAGTCGGAGTTGGGTCAGGAGTTTATAGCCCTTCCAATCAACTAAAATACTCCGCCAGACTCCCAAACCATGCCTCCATAGCGACAGCAGAATGCTTCGCAATTGCTCAAGCTCTGTTACACGCTACAAACAGCCATATTCAATCCGGAAGAAGACACTTCATTATCCTCTCAGACTCCCAGGCAGCACTTAAAAAAATATGTAACACCAACAACACCGCAAAAAAAGACTCTCTCACATTTGAAGCTAAGACCACCTTACACAATCTAGAAGTACGGGGAGCCAAAGTAGAATTCTGCTGGGTTCCCAGCCACACGAACATCCCCGGCAACGAAATAGCGGACAACCTAGCCAGCAAAGGATGCAAGTTGGAAGACCTAACAGAAACAAGATCACCCTATGAAGATCTCATAAAACTTATAAAACACGACATACACAAGAGATGGAAAAACACATTTAAGGAAAACCTAACGCAATCAGGCAGATTCTACTCCACACATACACCAGAACTTCAAAAGCCTTGGATCTCAATCAACTCTCTTGATAGAAGACACATCACTACCTTCCTGAGACTAAGAAGTGGTCACTGTCTCACAAAATCCCATCTGCATAGAATTGGCTTAGAAACCAGCCCTTCGTGTGACTGCGGAGCCACCGAACAAGACCTCCACCACATATTTCTAGAATGTACAACACAGACAGACCACATCAACAACCTATATAGAAAATTAAGTAGAATCTCCATCAATCCCATAAACCTGACAAACATCTTAAATAACCCCACGCACGAAGTTATAGTTGCAGTACTCGCCTTCCTAGATTCAACTAACACCAGGCTGTAAAACCCCCTGCTCTCATTCGCTCTGACCTACCCGCTTTGCATGGCTACGCCTTACATATAAAACCTAATACCCAAATTCCTTTTCACCAGCACGTTAACAGCCAACATACTACCCCGGATAACGCCTAAGAATCCAGACCACTGGCTGATATGGTTTACACAGACCAAGGCCAATAAATAAATAAAAAAGAACAAAAAAAAAAAGATTAATGAATTTAATTTAAATTATGCATACCTTTTGTAGTTGTCACTGCTCATTAATTATTGTCAATATTTTTCTAATAGCTTTTAGATAAACAAAATTGTCACTAGCACTCCAATGATGCACATTAAACATACGCCCATGAAACACATAACAAATTCACACTTCATAGTTCACTGTGCAACTGTTCGCGTTTGGCGCCAAATCAAGTAAATAGCGTATACCAAAATGTTTATAATAACGGTCGCTAACTGGAAAATTTAAAGTAGGCGGGAATTTTAAATACGTATCATTATAATCCACGCTAATGATGTCAAACTCAGGGACACATTTAAGAAATGTTTTTTTTTCAATTCAATTTTATTTTTTTGTCTCAATCCCGCTTAACATATCTTAAAAGGTGTTGTCTAAAATATACTATTGCTAGAGTATTTATGGACAGTTTCTTAATTTGCAAAAAAAAAATATTCTGGTGAAAGGATATCCAGGGACATCCACGCTAATGACAATTTATGTAATTAAAGGGAAAATGTATCGAATTGGTTTTATTTTATTATTAAGTTAATAGGTGTATGAATAGGGTCAATAAACCCCTAAATAAATATAAAATAAAAAATGGTGAACATGCACTTGACTGAGCATGGCAAGTCAGGGACATAAAATTTCCCCTATTGCAAGAATGACCCATATATTATAATATTATTATCTATGTTCTCATAACAAAATACTGTTTTTCTACTCCTATTACGGTATTTGACCCTTCTATAGAATAACTACAAATTTACTACTAAGTCAACTTTAAAGTATTTTTTACGGTTAACCAAAACGGTTTTATAACGGTATAGATACGAAAAATTACCAAATTTGGGGAATGGTTTATTTCGTTATTTTACCCACATAATAACCTTTTTGATCTACTGAGAGAATTACG